AGTGTGTGTTTCTTCACTCAGAGGGAAGGGGGTAGGAGAGGCAGGGAGGGCAGCCCACCAGCTTTCTTTCTCTGTGTCGGGCCGGGTTTGTTTCTTCACTCAGAGGGAAGGGGGTAGGAGAGGCAGGGAGGGCAGCCCACCAGCTTTCTTTCTCTATGTCGGGGCAGCCCACCCGCAGAGGCACGGCTTTTACCCCCCTCTGCTGGTGGGCTGGCACTTTCTTTCTTTCTAGAAAGCGGCTTTTGCCCGCTCCGCCGCTATGTCCGACATAGATGCGGGACGCTTCTATGTTGGACATAGTGGCAGGGCGGGCAAAAGCCGCTTTCTTTCTTTTTGCCTCACCAGCCATAAACCTCACTGCACGTCACTGTTCTCAACCCAGGGGACACAATATTTTAAGAGCTAGAAAAATACTTTCTGGGTAAACAAACTCACTAGGTTTATTCCTTCGGGAGAGAAAGCTAGGCAAATCAAAGAACATGGAAACTCTTTCAGTTCTTATGACACATTAACAGACGAATCAAATACGGACAATGATATAATAGCAGCTGAACATCAATTCTCCTACATATTGACAAAGAGCTCTTTGCAGTCCAGCATGTTCAACAACAGTACCTGTTGGTATGGATGCCAGTAATTTCTGGAAAAGACAAGTCTAGAAGTCTTCTTTCAGTGTCATCTAGGAAACATACACCTTTCCAATTAATTGCCACAATGAAATGTTTCTTTGGAAGACTGGGCCCTGCAAATACAATATAAATATTAGGCTTTCTCTGCTTCTCACTATACCTCATCCTACACAAAGTATGTTGCCATCACAGTACCTGAAAATTTAGTAACTTCGAAGAATCTAGAAAAGAGCAGAGGCCACTGATCACGGGCAAAGTCTACCAACTGCTCCTTTACACACTGAGGAGAAATCTGGTCCTGTGTGTAAGTCGCCTACAACATACAAGAATTTTATTGCAGTTCAGTGGGTATTTGTTTCTTAAATATAATACAATTTCACAAAGGCCCTAAAGTACATCTGACAATCTTTACATATTTATTGTTTAATCAGCAAGTTACAGATAAAAAAATTACAATGGAAATGAATTTAGGCATTCCATTCATACTCACAGCGGCAGTAGAAATAGAAGCTAATATTAATGTCAAATGTGACATCATTTGGATGTTCATACCTTAGCGTGAGCATATGTGATGAGATTCACCCACTTCTCTTGGAATTTGGATCTCAGTAGCTTTGCTGGGATACATTCTTGGAGAATACTTTGAACCAATTCATTTTGGATGGAGTCTCCAAACTTGATATAACAGTATTTGGCTCCAATTTCCACCAAGTCCTCCTCCTATAACAATTAATCAGATTAGTCAATTTTCTGGAAGAGTTCTTAATCCACCTTCATTCCCTAAGCCTCATTAGCTAGACCAAACAAATGACATATTAATGTATTACTAGGAGAAATAATCTTAAAATAAAATAAAGGCCTGCGTGGCATGGGACCAGGATGCTTGCGGGACCTTCTCATCCACTGGGATTGGCCCGCTCCACCCGTGCCGGCAAAGAGGGCATGCTACAGGCCCCATTGGCCGGGGAATTCAGCTGGCTGTGTCCAGGAGGAAAGCCTTCTCTAATTTGCCTGCCTTTTGGAATATTTTAACCTCCCCTCCAAGTGAGATCAGCTCCAAGCCTCCTGACCTGCCACAAGCACTTAAAAGACCCAGTTCTGCCAGCTGGTTTGGGGCTCCAATAAAGGAGTTTCACATGAAAAATGGTTGATAGATTAATACAGATGCTACCACCTCTTCTCATCCTACCCTCTCCCTCCCCATCTTTTAACTGGTCTCAGTAATTGGATCTTTACAGTATTTTATTTGTGTCTTTTAGGTTTTGGATATTTTGTAACTTTATAAGATTGTAAGCTGCCCAGATGTAAGATGGGTGTCCAATAAATTTTACAAACAAACGAATAGTATGTAGAACAATGGATTTAGAATGATAAATAATTCTTGGTGCAGATATGCCCTTAAAAAGTCATTTTTTCTCCAAGTGGCTTGGCCCTCATAACCAGAGTACCCCAAAAAATCTACCTTTTCACAACAGTATTCTCCAAACCGGACGCCACGTATTATCTGATAATAGATGAGTTCGGTACTGATGGGATCTTCTTTGGAATTGTGCCAGGGGGTGAAGATCTCTTTTCTGAAGTAGAGACGCCAAGGAGTATACTGTACATGTCCACCCTTCTCTTTTTCCTGTTGCTCACACTGAGAAATGGCATCCATGATGTGATCCCGTCCACTGCCTAGTGACCAGACCTAAGGTCATTGTTAAGGGGGGGGGGGAAAGTCTGCTCAGTTAAAGAAGTACAGATTGCCTTGAAAAACTTAATATAATAAAAACTGAATGAAAATTGCACAAAGGAGAATGAATAGCATTATGTATAGCTGTGCACAAATAGGATGGCAAAAGGAGGGGATGGCTTCATTATATGTTCTTCTACATTATTTGTAGGGCAGGGTGAAACTGTCTCTGAATTGACACAGATTGGGAAGTTACAGTATATTAATATTCCTTTGTATCTCTGTGTAAACAAAGGGGGAGGAAAGGCCATCAAGGGGATACCAGATTGCAGCAGGTTAAAAAAAACCAATCTAATAAATAAATTATATATATTTTGAAGTGATAAAAATTATTATAAGGCTATAAATACATTTCCTGACACATGTCTCTTTGTAAATTGTACTAATATTCATTGCACTAACAACAACTCTGTTTTATAAATTCCAAGAATGTCAACTGAAACTTGATTGTATTTGTCTTGAGGCCAACCTGAAACTTTGCTGACTTAAATTATGGCTAAAAGGAACATTCTGGGGTGAGTCCTTGGAATAACTTATACTTTGGAATAGTTACATCCACTCCTTGAAAAAGCAAATAGATTGTGTCCTATTCCCTGATAGCTGTATGCTCTAGGGGAAAAGATAAAGCCTTGGAAGACTCAAGCAGAGAATTTTGGACTAAGAGGTATTCCAAAGGATAGGGGAAAAAATGACATTTTCATTATTACAAGTTTTTGGATGTTCCTTTTCTCATCCTGAAATAATTTTATCACATCCTTCACACTCCATCTAAGGCAGGGGTGTTAAACTCAATTTCATTGAGGGCCACATCAGGTTTGTGTTTGACCTTAGGGGCCAGGATGGACATGGCCAGGGTGGGTGTGGCCAGCTTGGTGTCATTTGTGTTGGGGGTACCTGTAGTGGCCCAAGCTCTCTGCCAGTGAAAACGGGCTCCCAAGCTTTGTTTTTGACTGGGATGACCTCCTGGAACCCTCTGCCAGTAGAAACGGAGCTCGGGAGGCCACACACAGCCCTTGCAAGCTCCGCTTTTGGCTGGGACGGCCTCCTGCAACCCTCTGCCAGCTAAAACAGAGCTTGGGAGGTGCCGCACAGCCCTGCCGAACTCTGTTTTCACTGGCAAAGGCACCACAGGCCAATCCTTCACTGTTTCCAGGGTGGCTCCACAGGCCAGATCTAAGCATCCCGTGAGCTGGATCCAGCTCACAGGCCTTGAGTTTGACACCCCTGATTTAAGGGCATTTACTTTAGTATTATTGGATACCTGTCTTCAATGACTTCTACAGGTAATTATCACCACATTCCTTATTAGAATCACTTTTGTGAGGTTAAGTTTGTGGAATATGGATTACCAGTATGCTCCCAATGTCACAGATGGTGCCTTGATCTCATTGAAGTACTTAGTGGTAAGCTTTCTCAGCTAACAAAGTAAGTGATTATAAATCAGCTGAGATAAGATCAATGTCCTGAAATATCTAAGGAGGCCATAGAATTCTTAACCACAGCTGTGGTCTTTAGGCACCAATGGCTTTATTCTACAACTAGATAAGTCCAGTATTTGATTCTGTTTTTGTTTTGCTTCTCTATCCACTTAAATTCACAGTTGTTGACTGCCTTGTGCCAAGGATGTGATAAAGAGGTGATTTCCTGCACCTCTTCTTTTTACTTTTCTGTCAAGTTTTATTACCTATATCATACTGGTTTTGCTTGCTGCAAATACTGTCTGTCTGTCTCATTAATTTCTTTACTCTGTCAATCTATGGCCATCTAGTAAATAAGTAATTCCAAGAACATTCACAACCTCAACTCCAAAGGGGGCTTTATGTAAATATTGAGCAAATTGGAAAAAAAAGTTCACTCAGATTGAGTGTGCAAAGAATGACTTATTTATGCAGACTGACTAAAATGAACATTAAATACATGGTCAGCATGATAGTGACATATATGAAAAACATACACAGCCTTTTGGATCACATGGGTTATTTTGTTTTCACACAATGATATTTATATGATCAGATTAAATAGAAGAATACATGGGGAAAATCCCCAGGCTGCACCAAAAAAGCAAACTACCAATTCTGATTATATTAATTTCCTTAAGTTATAAAACCTCTTAGTGCTATTTATGTGAGAAAAGGGTAAACAGCTGGTGAAATCTGGGAAGAGATGGAAACTGCATTTTTACATTTAGAGCCCTGGGCTGGCAGCAAAAGAAAAGCCCAAACCACCCAGGAAAGTATTTTATGAAGTAATGTTCCCATCCTAGGATATAAAAATAACAGATTAGAAATGAAAGTATTTAAAAAATGTGCTTTTCCAGAGCATTTAGATTGGCATGACACATAACTTCATTTTACCTTATCATACAAAGCAATGTAGAGAGAGAAGCCAAATGTGTCTTTTAAGTTCATTTGATCAGCTACCAGCTGGCAGATCTCCTTTGCAGTGGAGGCTGAATCTGCAAGCACTTTGGTACTGTTGCCGTTCATCATGATTACACTAAGTGTAATTGGCTTCTTACTCTTGGTTGCCTAAAAACAAAGTTAAGTAAGTACTAAGAAATAGAAGTCTATTCCACACATGAAGAAGATTGAATCTCAACTTTTACAATATAGTGTATATAGATGATCTACATGTAGTTAGGGAAGGCTTTGTGAAACTATTAGAATAAATTAATCAATATTTAACTTTTCCATGCCTTTTAGTGCCTTAATGATAAAAAGGTAGAAAATATCTGTAGCTTGGGTATAGAGTGTGGGTGGAGGTTCATTCTCTGAACTTGGGGGTTGGTTTCAAATGTTTCGTTACGAAGCTAGGTAACATCTTCAGTGGAATTTAGGGGATATCAGTGTCAGTGTTCCTCTGTTCATAAGGGCTTCGTGTGGTCAGTAGGTCTTATGATGGAAAGGTCACATCAGGTGAGGGACTTGTGATGGGACAAGTGTGCGTTGCATCAATTGAGGGGGTCTTATGATGGGTCAGGTGTGGATCACATCAGTGGCGCCAACCCTCAATCAACCCACACAACCCCAATGCCCCCCACCCAGAACTTCACCTCCCAATGATCCTCACCTAATGTTACCTCCCCATCACAAGAACCATCACAAGACCCTTACCTGATGTGACATCCCCATCACAAGACCTACTGACCACACAAAGACATTATAAACAGAGGGACATTGACATCCCCTAAACTCCAGTGAATATGTTATCTAGTCTGGTAATGAAATGTTTGGAAGCCAACCCACAAGCTTGGAGAACAAACCTCCACTCCCAAGTACTTTTTTCTATGCTTAAGTGTAAATAGTATTATCCCAAGATGTTATTTCTCATCATCAGGTTCCTCTTATAATGTTTATTCATAAAGTTACATCCACTAAAGTCCTTTCCAATGTTAATGTTTTTCTGTTTGATAGTTGTTCCTTTCAACTCTTTCCTGTTCTCTCAAGATATTAGTAAGATCTTTTCTCTCTTGAATAGCTGATCTTTCCCCACAGTCATTTTGTATTGCTTTTGACAAAGGTAATTGCTAGCTTTTTTTACTTATCCCTTTTATAGCAAAAATTCAATTTTGAGGGGAAAATTCAATAGTTCGGTAATTTATTTTCTTTCACAGGAAATAAACTTGTATTTGTGCAATTTAAAGAAAGTTCTGGAAAAAATACTGATTTTTCCTTGTTTACTTAGAATGGCTAGTGCAGCAAATGTGTCTCAAATGAAGGTTGTTAAAAGAAAGAGAACATGTAATTCATAAGAAACTCAGCTAAATGGTGTCAGCTGGATCCTTCATAAGAAGTGAACGAAGAGAGCTAATGAGGAACCTACTCTAGATGACTTCAGGCATGGAAGGAAAGATATCAGAAAAAGGTTGCAAAAGAATTGCTCATTCTGTTGATTTGATTTGATTTGATTGCACTTATATGCCGCATGTTTAGGGCAATGGCAATTCTAACTCAACATAGCTGGAGGATATCAGACTGGAAAATATTAATTTAGATAATTAGAATTACTATGTCCTACCACACCATAATTTTTGATGTAAGAAAAGAGAAGATAAAATGTAATGTAATTTGGGTAATAGTTACCTGCAGCTCCATCCAGCTAGGTGGTTCAGATCGTGTTCCATTCATATAAGTTCGCCTCAACCGTTCAGAACAATAAGGTGCATACAATAATGGTCCACCCCGAATAAAATTTAGTAGATACTACAGTAGTATGAAGTAAAATAAGTTATTTGAAAGCATATGGCCACATAGGCTTGTTAGGATCTTCTATAACAGTAAGTAGAATATAATGAAAATGTTTACAGTTAATTCCATGTTACTTTTTGCACTTTGAACATCATGTCTCCAGTATAATGATATTTTTTAAATACACTTTAAGAATGGGCTTAACAAAATAGAAGGTGAAATCATTTTTTAGGCTGCAAACATGAAAATATTTGGCCTGTGTCTGAAAAGTGCAAATGTCAACCTTCATTGTGTAAGACAGAAACAAACTTCACGATAATGGTCAAAATTAAAATGTTGCCAATAAGATGTTTTTAAGACAGAAAGCGCCAAGAATTGGGAGTGAAGAGGAAGAAGATCAAGATATACAATAAGAAGGGAAATCCTAGAAAGAATAGAGAATAGTTGCTGCTGAATTTTGCATTAGGCAACTATGGGCTAGAGTAGAGCTTTGCAACCTGTACCCAAAACCATTTAGCCAAGGGGTCCCCAACCCCCGGAATGTGGACTGGCCAGAAACCGGGCCACGCAAACAAGTAAAACTTCATCCACACGATGCAGGCAGCATGTGAAAACATGTCCCATCTGGTCTGTGGAAAAACCTCCACAGAACTGGTCCCTGGTGCCCAAAAGGTTGGGGGGCGCTGATCTAGCCCATGGTCCTAAATGAAATATATTAACCTCATATGCACAGAAAGAGTGCTTGCTGCTTCCTCAGGCAACCATTTTAACTATGGCTTCACCAGCTGTCTCTGTGCAACTTGTGCAAAAAGTACTCCAGAATGGTGGCAGTAGTTTATCTGGCCCCTACTCTGAAGACATTTGTCACCTTGGAGCTAAAGCTTTGTTCTACACATGGTCCTCAGCAACTAACTGAAGTAGCGCTTACTAGGAGCAAACAACTACAGAATCAGTACCTTCACAAACTGGTCTGAAGGGCAGAAAGAACCAAGGCAGAGTGACAGCAAGATCCAACCTCTGTGATAACTAGTTTTATTTTTATTTTCAGTGAGTTGTTTACAGATCTGGCAATAAATCTCATCCCTGTTATAGGAAACAAATAGGCATTTTGTTATGTTTCAAGTTCATCATCTCAGAGGCTAGCAAACTTTTTTGGCCAGAGATCACATTTAATTACATTTTCAAAAAAGGACTGTGCTCTCTGTTGGCCACAGCAGGAATGAAGAGCCAAAAGGTTTGTCTTCCCTCCTTTTGGGAATGTAGGATTTAATGACATTCCTATTTTGCATAATAAGGGGGAAAAGGAAAATTGTAATGGGGAAAAAAAAGATTTTAAAAACCCAAATACTTTCTCAATAAAACAAATAGAAAAATGCACAACTGAAGTGTCATAGGGGAAAGGTGGATGCAGTGTTGAATATATCTGTCATTCTCTGTTACTTATACATTTTGGTTTTCAGGGTTATTTCATGCCCTGTGCATCAGTTTTACCTATAAAAAATGTTTACTTTGCAGGGAAAAGAAATCAAACCAATGAGTCCTTTAGATGAGTTGTGAAACTTCACTCTTGTTACTGAACAAAAAATGGAGGATCTCGCGTGAAATTTAAGAGATTTAAAACCTCATGCATTATATTGTTCACTTAAGTGTAAGCTTAACTAAAATATTTTATGACTTTTCTTTAAAAATGCACCTGATACAAAAATAAACAGTATATTATACCTTTATATTTAAAAATCCTGAAATTCAGCTCAAAAGCAGTAGAAAAAACTTTGCTTCAAGCTTCTTGCAAAGAAAATTAAAAACAACATAGGTCTGGGATGGCGAACCTATGGCACTTGTGCCACAGGTGGCACACGGAGCCATTTGTCAGGCACGCGAGGCGTTGCCCTGCCCACACGTGCGCGTTGGCCAGCTGAGTTCAGCCTTTTTTAAAGCCATTTGTCACCCTCCCCAGGCTCCAGAGGCTTTATAGGACTTTGGGTTTGTCCGTTGGGTCGTTTATCATCCTCCGGAGCCTTCAGGGAAGCCTCTGGAAGGTCCCTGAATGCTCCAGAAGGCTTAAACTGGCCCTATGAGCAAACCGGAAGTTCGTTTCCAAATTTCCAGTTTGCCTGTAAGGCCAGGTTTTTGCGCTCCGGAGGCTTCAGGAAAGCTCCTGAAGCTTCCGAAGGGCCTCCGGGAGGGGAAGGCTGTTTTCACCCTGTTTTTGTCCTGGGGAGGACAAAAAAAGCATGCAAAAAATGGGGGGGAGCGCCTGTCATGCACTCATGTGTGCTGGGGGAGCACATTGCATTGTGGGTGCGGCACGTCCGCACACAACCCCCCTGCGCTCTCCCTGCTTATGGCACTCGAGCCAAAAAAGGTTCACCATCGCTGAAATAGGCCATCAGAAAAAGTATGCTTTAGAGCCGTGTTTCTCAACCTTGGCCACTTGAAGATGTCCGGACTTCAACTCCCAGAATTCCCCAGCCAGCGAATGCTGGCTGGGGAATTCTG